AATCTTCTTATTGGGAAAGAAAATATTTACAGGGTCAATCTGTAAAAGTCCTGTGTTACAATGGCTATCATCTTCCAAATGGTCAAGACACAATGACATGTACTGAGACTGGCTGGTCCCCTCCTCCCAAATGCATTACTATCAGTAAGTAACCAGCACTGAGATCACAAGATGCTCATGACTTTCCTTACCATTTGTACTAACTGTGGCGAATTGTCTCATTGTTTCCAGTGTGTACAAGTGAATACTGTAGATTCTTGATAAGTATATTGCAAAGTAAACACTCCTGGAAATAGTTAAGCTATAATACAAAATAATTGAGCAAACTTTTCTTTATTTTATAGTACTATGCAGTTTGAAATGACTTTGCCATTTTACTCAAAACTATATAAAAGTATAGTTTAAAATTGAACAAAATAGCCATACACATCATTCGTATATTCAAAAAGTAACATTTTATACAATGGCTAATTGACTTTGAATTCTCTATGATGTGCTACAGGAAAGATTCCTCTTGAATAGTGGGCATGGTCCAGGTTTGATGTTCTTTTCCAATCTTTGTACCAATATATATTTATGTTGTGTCAATTTCTTCATGTTGAGTATTCTTGTAAATGTCTCTGTTTTGTCTCATTTTATTAATTTTAAAATAAATATCTATAAGATGTTACAACATCATAGTGTTGATGTACATTCCTTTTAATACCACTTGTATATTTTAAATATAACCCTAGTTCAATTTGTAGTTTACTATTTTTCAAATGCAGGTTTTTCCAACTTTTACTTTAGCATTTGTTTTGCTGCAAAGTGAAGATTTCTAAAAAATAATCCTTTAGTTATACACGTCCCAGATGTGACCCTGGTTTTTTTTTTTTTTTGCTTCATATTGACATCTTTCTTTACATAGACTTGATTGCCATTATCTTGCATTTTCAGAATGATTTTCAATTATTATATAATAATGAGTACTTTTATGACTGTGATACATATTTAAAAGTATAATCTGTTTTTGAATGCTCATCAATTGCCTTTTATTATACCATTTTGCTGATGAGAAACTTTTCTTACCTTCAATTTTTTAGATACTTGTCCTTTCTTTAATCTCCAAGAATTTTTATCTTCATTTATTTAAGATTTTTTATTGGACATTTTGTTTATTTACAATACAAATGCCAACCCCTTTCCCCATTTACGCTCCCTACAAACCCCTATCAAATCTGCCCTCCTCCTTTATGATTTTATACCATTTTGATTACATGCATGTTTTAAGTTCAGTTCTTGGTTGAGGGTCTAGCACCACAATAGGTGCAAATTGTCAAGGAACAAGCGAAACAATAAACACAAGTAGTCAAAGTAAAAGCAAAGCATTAAACCCAATTACTTGAACACTCCCGTGATTCCTGTTTCTAAGGGCTTATCAGGATGACCAAAGTATCTGAACCTACTTCCTTATCATAGCCCAAAGTCATTTTTGTGTCTGAAGCCTACTTCCTCATTGTAGTCTAAGACTTAGATTCCTGCCTGAAATTACTCCTTTGCTCTACCCTAATGTTAGATTCCTGCCTGAAACCTACCTCCTGTCCTTGGCCAATATCATACTCCAGCCAAGCGGCACATTTCCTTATCCTTGGCTCATGTGAGATTCTTGCCAAGCAACCCCAAAGGCTCTCTGCCTTTCTTATTTCAATAACAAGACTGAGCCAGTCTTAGGTCGTTCTGACAAGAATGCATTCCTTACTAGTCATGGAATATACATTATCAAGGGCATTTATATCTTAGGTTTATAAGGCTCAGTGAAGAATCTTACCTGTCCTTGGCTTGCAAACCTGTTAATTTAATAATTCTGTCTGGGAGTCCATTTTAAGGTTCAAGCGATGTACTTGCCTGCCAAAATGTTGATGTTGTTGAAGAAAAGCTTTAACACAATGGGCAGAAATAAACGTATTTCCAGGACAAAAAGGGCTAGCATGATCAACCTATATATGCCATTTTTTGTAGCTTGAACAAAATAGAAATACTGACCTCAGGTGATGGGTAATTTTATCTGCAGTATCTACCTCATCAACGTTCAGCAGAGCAGCATTCGTGAATTTCATTAGTTCTCTATGTTTCATTAAAACACCCCAAGACTTTTTAGAATTATGCCAAATACACTGCATGTTTCACTAAACTTCTTCCTAATTATAATGACTACCACTGCAAATTGTAGAACTAACATGAATCCAATAGTATTTGCCAACATTCAAGATGGATCCTTACCCATAAATTCTGAAGCTCCTTCAGTAATTTGAATAGGAAAAAGAGCATCAATCCGGTCTTCGAGATGCCTATCTAAGTCTGCTAATATATTCAATACTTTGGTAACATATTTTGCTAAATGATTAACAAAAGTATCTATCTTAACTTCTTGTGTCACAGCAATTGCAGAAGCAGTGGTGCTAGCAATTAATGTAATTAAAGCTGTTATGCCAGCAATAATCAAGCCCAGTACCTTCTTTCTTCTACTTAATGCCTGACTCATTTCTTCCAGTACTGGGAGGCTAATTTTATAATATCAAAGATCTTTGATACACAGGGCACTGAAACAAAAGCTGGTTGAGAGACCTCCATAACAGACATGCCAGATTTCAAAACACAAACACAATAAGAAGGTGTACAAGCAATGCAATTTACATTAAATACTGTAGAAGAAACAAAAGTATTAACTTGACAATTTAAAGAACCTTAAGACATGTGCTAACCCCTGTCTGAAATCTAGATCCTACCCCAACTTTATCTCTTGCTAACGTGACATCATTGTGAACTGCAGCTAATTTCCATATATGTCTCTGAAAGTCTCCAGAACCAGACTTCCAATTGGAGATTGTTATTTCCAATATTGGATTGATTTCTATGCCAGTTCATGATTGCGTCTGAATAATTGGTCACAGTTAAGAATAATAGAAGAGGCATTATAACTTCTTCTTTTGATTCTCTCTTCCACAAGGTCTAAAATCTTGAGGCAAGGCAGCTTGTCCCATCAGGGGTATAGGTTAGCAAAGTGGATTGGAAACCTATGTCCAATTCAACTTCCCAGTCACCATTGTCAGGGCACTCAGCAAGCTCATGCTCAGCATCATTGTTTGTCCGGGTATCAGCATGTCTCACCCATTGCTCTGGCAGCCACCATCCTCCTTCAACATCTTCCAGAAAAAAATGCCCTTTTCCCCATCTTTAATACTTGATATGGATCATACCTTATGCTAGTAATTGGAACCTTCTCTTTCACCTATGCATATGTATGTCTAGTTGTAGAGTACCAGAGTCACTCAGCAAAAAGTTCCTTGGCATTCAAATTTTTTAGAAAAATATTTTAAAATGAATAATAAAAGAATATAATTTAAATAAATTTATGGTGTACAGGAGTGTATCAACCCCTTTTTTAATTTATAAAGATATTTTTTAAAGTTACATGAGCCCATTTCACAGTCTCCTCTCCTTGAAAATTATAAGGAATCCCATATTATTGGTAATGTTAAATTGCTGCTGAAATGTCTCGACTGTTCGAGTGCTATAGCAAGTTCCATTACTTGTTTGTTTGTTTGTTTGTTCATTTTTCTGTTTTATAATTGGGTACTTTATCTATCTACATTTCAAATGTTATCCCCTTGCCCCATTCTCCACCAACCAAACCCCTTAACCCATCCTCCCTTCTCCCATTTCTATGAGGGTGTGCCCCCACCTCCCTCACACTCCCAACTGCCTTCTCTCAAATTTTCCCACGCTGGGGAATCCACCCTTCAAGGGACTAAGGCTGTCCTCTCCCACTGATGCCCTACAAGTCCATCCTCTTCCACAAATACAGCTAGAGACATGGTTCCCTCCATGTGTGTTCCCAGGCTAGCTATTAAGACCCAGGGAGCTCTGGTTTGTTGGCATTGTCACTCTCCCCATGGAGACAAAAGCCCCTTCAACTCCTTCATTCTTCTCTCTAACTCCTCCACTAGGAAACCGGTGGTCAGTTTTATGATTAGCTGTCAACATCTGCCTCTGTATATGTCAGCTCTGGCAGTGCCTCTCAGGAGACAGGTATATCAGGCTGTGTCAGCATTCACTTTCTGACATCCACAACAGTGTAACACATGGTGATTTCATTTAAGAGGGATTTCCAGGTGGGGCATTCTCTGCATGGTCTCTCTTCCAATTTCTGTACCACACATTGTCTCATATTTGCTCCTGTGAGTATTTTCTTACTCCTTTTAAGAAACCCAAAGCACCCAAACTTTGGTCTTTCTTTTTCTTGAACTTCATGTGGTCTGTGAGTTATGTATTGGGTATTGTGAGATTTGGGGCTAATATCCACTTATCAATGAGTACATATCATGTGTGTTCTTTTGTGATTGGGTTACCTCACTCAGGGTGATATTTTCTAGTTCCATCCATTTGCCTAAAAATTTCTCAAATTCATTGTTTTTAATAGCTGAGTAATACTCCATTGTGTAAATGTACAACATTTTCAGTATCCATTCCTCTGTTGAAGGACATCTGGGTTCTTTCCAGCTTCTGTCTATTATAAATTAGACTGCTATGAATGTAGGGGAGATGTGTCCTTGTTATGTCCTTGGAGCATATTTTGGGTATATGCCCGGGAGTGGTATCACTGGATCCACATTTTATGAGGATCTGACAGACTGATTTCCAGAGTGCTTTGACAAACTTAGAATCCCACAACATCCTTGCCAGCATCTGTAGTCAACTGAGTTTTTAATCTTAGCCATTCTGACTGGTGTGAGGTGGAATATCAAGATTGTTTTGCTTTGCATTTTCCTGATGACTAAAGATGTTGAACATTTCTTTAGGTGCTTCATGGTCATTTATATTCCTCAGTTGAAAATTCTTTGTTGAGCTCTGTACTCCACTTTTAATAGGGTTATTTTGTTGTCTGCAGTCTAATTTCTTGAGTTCCCTGTAAATTTTGGATATTAGTCCTCTATTAGATGTAGGATTGGTAAAAAATATTTTCCCAATCTGTTGGTGGCCATTTTGTCTTATTGACAGTGTCCCTTGCCTTACAGAAGCTTTGTAATTTTATAAAGTCCTATTTGTCAATTCTCGATCTTAGAGCATATGCCATTGGTGTCCTGTTTAGGAACTTTTCCTTTGTG